GTTATACCACTAACTAACAATGAATCAGCTTCTGATTCATTGTTAGTTAGTGGTTTATTAGATTAAAGGTAGTTCAAATTAAATAGCTAATAATGTCTGCTTAGAGCTCCTCCATCCAGAAGAGGGCAGCATTGGTCATCCTTACATGGAGCCAGATGATACAGGAATAAAGATGGTGGGGCCATACCAGAACAGGAAAGAGAACTCATCCAAAAAGAGTCTGATGTGGGATGCAAAACCCACTTTATGCGTTTTTGTTTTTAAGTGTAAACCCTCGGCTAGCTTCTTAAGTTTCATAATGTTTTGGGTTTTTTTTTTTTAAGTCCAGGGTATTATGAAAAATGTATTCTTATGGAAAGATAGTCCATCCTCATCGTACAAAAGAAAACTCTGATTTTTAACCCTTGTATGTAGAAATGTGGTCCAACTGACCCCTCACACGTAAAACTTGTATCATTTGCCGTAGTCCTCTACGTTAGCCTCAGTCCTCACACGCAGGGTTAAGAAAATGGCCGCCTTTGACATATGCATGTATATTTATGCCTGCGTGTAAAGTTTTGACCAGAGAAAGCCTACAATGCAACTTGTTCTCAATTCTCCTTAGAATTTTTTCAAGTTGTTCGACACAGTCATTTGTCTCTAGAAAAAACCCTGTTCATCAACTTTAAGTGGCAAAAAATGAACATGATGCTCATTGATGTTGATGTGTGTAAACTTTCCAAAGCGGGTATGCTACTTGTGATGTTGTGGTGGAAAAACACATTTTGTCCATAAAATGGGTCAGATGAGGCGTCTTACAGAGGTGTGTGCTTGTGTACCTTTGTTCATCCCTCGTTCTCATTATGTTCCTCAGCAAGTTTGCCCTTCTCTGGATCTCACCATAAAACAAATGCATCTGCATATTATTTGGGGGTGTAGACTTAAAAAAAACAACAACAACAAAAAACCATCTTTTGTCCTTGTCACCCTTCCTTGGCATAACAGCGTTTTAGATTCTCCTCACGTAGACTCTCTACGATGCCGGGCCTTTCCCGTCTTCCCTGACCTCTCACTGTCTGTGTCAGCATGTGCTGCCCGTCCTTAAAATAACCTAATCAAATCCGGCTTCTACTTAAAATTGGGATAAAAAAAAAATATAAAAAATGAATGCACGATTTCCCTGATGTCTTTCCGGTTACTTCGATACACTCCATTTCTCCTCAGCTGTTCCTCCCTTCTGGTTTGGGGTGGGTGGGTCAGACTCGTCTCGGCACACCAAACATCATCTGGCTCTCATCAAGCCAAGCGTGTGTTTTCGCAAAGACTATTTTACGACAGACATCATTCATCATCCACTTTTAAGTTTATGCAACTGTGTCTGATGAGGAATTACCTTAATATTTCTGTAATATTGCCCTTGGGGATTTGTAGCTTGTCTGTGGCTCTCAGTGTATTTCCTATTAGTATTAGGATAATGTTGCCTGTCACTTAGGGACTACTGAACGGTGCCCAACGCCATAAACTGATTAGGGGGAACACTTTGACCACTGATGGTGGGGATGAAAATAATTTGTTTTGTCATGGCAGCGGTTAGTGGTTGAGATACGCTAGGCTGTAAATCAAACGTGCGTTCTCAAAGATTATGAGTGATTGTAAAAATTAGAAAGTATTTGACAGGAGCGCATATTTTTTATGCCGGACGACATGGTCAGAGGGTCGACGAAAACCCAGCTCTTGTTTTGGTGTTCCCGGTCCACACATGCCGGTATCTATAAAAGTTGTACAAAAGAACGAAGCGTGATGACAGGATCCCAAGCAGCAAATGGCAGATTGATGCACATGGTGAGCAGTTGATGGCCTTCGTGTCTCAATCCAACAAAGGAGCTACTGTTGCAAATATAACAGTGATTCTAACAGAAATGTGTCAAAAAACACTCAGTGCATCTGTGTTTGTTGTGAATGGGGCAGGATGGACCGGATGGGGTCCCCAATGAAATGGGATATGTATGATAGGTAGTCGTAATCTTTTGTCTGATATATGCATCGTGTGTTCGCTGTATTGTCCCAATCAATTGCAGTGAAAATATACATGGCAAAATGTTAGTTAAAAAAAAAAAAAAAAACTTTTAGTTAGGATTTTCTATTAGGAATGTACTTCCTGTATAGATTCTTCTTCTAGTACTTGTTAAATTCAGACTGATTTTATCTGCAGTGACATCCTCTGTTTAAAATAAGAATTGCAGTGAGTGCCTGAAGTGAAATGATACGATTCAAAAGAACTTCCTTAACCCCTCAATACATCTTGTAAGCAAAGATAAGCCCAAATGAGTCTTGCCAAAATACATCCAATGGCTTACAAACCATGGTTGTATTGGTGTTTTTAGTCTACGTCGTTTGAACCTTAATAAGAAAAAATAATACAAAGGGTATAAATTGGAAGGAAAAAAAATTACCAGGAATGTGCTAAAATATTTCAAATGGTAACTTGAGGGCACAATTGGACAAAAACAACTTTTAAGAACCTGCTGAAGATTAAAAGGAATAGACTAACCAGCTGTCTGCGATCCGAGCCAGCACACTGTAAACCCACACCACTTCCCATCATCTTCCCAGATACATAATTTTAGAAATCCCCCAAAGTTCAAATTAATTCCAGACAAAGAGTTCGATCTGCCTTCTTTTTCAGCCTGACTGCAGCTTGTCTTGTGCGTTATTTATTTCAGATTGTTTTCCTGTTTCCAAGCTGCTGCTAAATTGGAGCCATAAGTACCATAGCCAATATGGCCAGGGAATTATTTCTTTTTCTTTTTTTTCTCGCTTGTTTATTTTCAATAATGATGGTTGAATCACAATATAAAAGACATTATTTATCTGAGTCAGAATTTCATGGATAAGTTTCTTCACACAAACAAGGAATTTGACTTCAGTTTCACTTTGCCCTCAATGGACAGACATTTTAGGTAAAGATATAAATTTTGTCATAAAAAAGTGCCGTTTTTGCAAATGGCACTTTACAGCACCAACCTGAAGTTAGAAGTCGAAACAGTTTGAATCCAGGATGTGTGGGGTCTGCAGAGGTGCCGGCTGCCTCTCTTCCTGACCCTAGATCTGTGTAAGTCTTGGATTAAGGCCCAGAGGAGACTCAGACTAAAATAACAGTGGTGTCAACTTCAGAAGTCTGCTGAGGTGCAGACATTCATGTAAAGAGAAGAAGAGTGGGCATAGGACACACCCCTGGGGGGGCACCGGTGCTGATGGTTCCAGGTGCTCCCCAACTTTAATCATTGACATCAGGTGCTGATGTCAATGATTAAAAAAGTCTAATAGAGATTGTGGCAAGGCTTGATGGAAAGTTTACAAATTAATTCCATTTAATCTGATGGAGTTTGATCTGTTTTGTAAAAAAAGAATGGGCAACATTCCCATCTCTAGATGTGTACAACTGGTAGGAACATGCCTAGAGAGACCATCAGCTTGGAATTGAATGTGGATCTTCAAAGTAGTCTTTAAGTCTTTGTACTGATCCTAGAGGGGTTGAGTCCAAAGGCATGCCACATGTTTAAGATCCTTTTGTTTTACAAACGTGCAAAGGGCTATTGGACATGTATGATTTCTTCTGTAAGACCTCACCTTCCTCTTACAGTGTTACCCCAACTGTCTTCTACTGTGTTGTTCTGTCCCAGTGTTGCTGTTTTAGTCAAGAGAGATGCACAACTATTCCCAGAGATAGTTATACTCTCTCTGACTTTAAGTTGACTTTGACATGCAATGAATTTTGCTGAGATATTCTTCTGCCATTCATTTAACAGCCCACGAGTGACCTTTTTTCTGCCTTACGCCATGTCTTAAAAGTGAAAGGTGAAACCTAAGTATCCATGAGCACCAAGGCAGAGCATCACACAGCTGCTGAAGGGATTTGCCGATATCTTGAGACTGGCGGAAACCGTTATTGCAACCTTGTTTCTGTCTGCTGCTCTTGGTCGATCCTCTTTGGTAACCGTTTATCCGTTTACCTTCATTCTGTGGCCTGCAAGCCATCTGTTGGCTGCGGCTGTGTTTTTTTCTGTGTGTGTGTGTGTGTGTGTGTGTGTTCGCCAACGAGAGAGGGTGTTCCTTCCTTCTTATACCGGTGCTTTGCTGTAGAGATCCAAACAGGCAAGCACCGGGACACCTTAATGTGTTAAAGGCGCGCATTCACAGGTTCATTAAGGGAGTTTCTTGCACTCCAGGTGACACAAACACGCACGCACTCACATACAGCCTCCAACATGTGTTGCGAATTTGTCAGGCAGACTTGGAGTCAGCGCGAGAAGGGAATTCCTTCATCTGCACGCTCCTTCCAGCTGCACATGTGCTCAGCAGCTGCTCCACATACACACACACACACAAACACACATGCAAGGAGAGAGAGGCGCTGTGTAAAGCAAGGACGATAAACAGCAATCACAAATAAGACATCCCACAGTTTCCCTTTGAGAGCGGTGTCCTCCTGACTTCCTATCACGCTCTGAGAAAAAAAAAAAAAAGCCTCCAAAGAGCCGCCAGAGAGGCCGCCAAGAGCGTGGCGTTTCGAGGCGGCTCCGCTTGGACACCGCGTCTTCCGAGTCTCAGGCAACTCTTACAGTCTGCTCTCGACATCTCAAAGGGGTCGCGCCTTTTGAAGATCGACTGCGCAAGGACTTGTGCGAACACGCCGAGCCGCAGACAACATCACGTGTTTGCTACGTTCCATGTGCTAGCACGGACAGAGTGGTGTTTCTCAATTGTTACGCTCTCGCAGTCGTAGACTTAATTGCTTTAGAATAAATTCACGCTGTTTGCCAGAACATATGCACAGCAGCCATTTCATAAATCCAAGAATGTAAAAGTCATTGGGAATATTAAAAGATTAATTAGTTGCTGGAGAGTTTTGGTGGATGAGCTTCAGCAACATTTGGCTTGTAGATGCTGCATTGACACATGTTTTCTGTTCTCTCTCTCTGTCTCGTTCTCTTCTTTTTTTTCTTCTTTTGTTTCCCCAGGATGTTGGAGTACTCACTCAACCTGCAAAATGTTAGCTTTTCAGCTGTGAGGACGGTGCGTGTGCTGAGACCCCTGAGAGCCATCAACCGGGTGCCAAGTGAGTGCATGCAGTTTTCTCACCCTTCTAACACAACTCCTCACCCTGACTCTGAGGGTTTGAAATAATTTGCCCTCTAATAACCCAAGAACTTTATTATTCTCTGGAAATAGAAACTTTTATGGCTTAAAAGCATTGCAGTCTGCTCAAGGTAAACGCTACTGGTTGCAGACGAGGGACACCCAAATTAATTTGGTCAGATGTGGTGTCCTGATATTAAAATGTTTGTATGTATCCATTTTGACCTAAGACTCGAACTTTTTCAAAGGTAACTGTAGATATTTATGTCTATATTCACCTAAGTAAGTCTTACATAAGACACTTCTGGTGTTGCCTTACCATTAAGAGGGCGACTGTGGCTCTGTGGGTAGATTAGGCCTCTTGTGATTGGAAGGTTGTAGGTTCGATTCCAGCTGTCTCCTGCCAAATGCCAATGTGCCCTTGGGCGCCCATATTGCCTACCGTTCAGCATATCGGTCTATAGATGTGAGTGCAAATGGGTGAATGTGACTCTAGTGTAAAGCACTTTGAGTTATCAAAATGATTTACGATGTAGTCTGTGTTTCAGGAGGGCATTACCAAAAATAAAATCCAGTTGTTCCTCATGTTAGCATATTCCACAAAATTATCTCAGGTTTATCTTCCAGCAGCTTGTCCATTGCAACCAAAAGAGTGTGATTCATCTCAGACTTACTAAGGGGCGTTTTTCCAAATACTAATGAAGGTATGTTTGTAGGTCAGACTCTGTGTGGATATTAAAGTTGTTTCTTAAATCTCTGGTGCACGCTGGCGGTTAAAGGGGGCAGTATTTTGTAAAGATGACTTTTTTTTTTTAGCTTTATATCATATTATAATTTTATCCCTTCTTCCAAAACTTTCTTGGGATGTTGCTTTGGTTCTTTCATGAACATACGAGAGATCCTGTAATCTCCTGTTTCAACCATTCAGCTGTGTGAAATGCCTCGTTGTCAGAGCTGCAGTTTTTAAGCTTTTGAGCTTCCACATTCAGCTCGCTCACTCGGCTCCTTCAGACTAGCCAGCAACAATTAGCAAACACCTGGTGGAACTGCACATCTGCTGAGCTCGTTATACGAGCCACTGCTCATTGCAACGCTGGTAAAAACGTTGTCAAAGGATTAATACGGGAGCCATGTTGTGATGACTTCAGAAAGAGGAGTTTTTTAAAGAGTCAGAGCCCCAATTTCAAGGCGTTACAAAGGTGAATTTCATATTCCATATAAAAAGCGTCTTTATAGCAACCAAAGGTGACAAAGTTACTTTATTGTGCTATAAAACGACACTATGTGCCTGAAAAACACCTTGTATCGCCCCCTGTAGCCGAGCATTCCACATTCTTCATCCGGTCCTCCTGAGATAAAACCACCTGGAATCTCTCCGTTTAAATAAAGATTCCAATTATGCCATTAGCTTCCATCTGGATCACTCCACACGACCTTCAAGAAGCCCCTGTTTCCGTACCATGAGGTGTTTAGCTGGTGAGTGGGGACGTCATCGCCCTCTTCCACCGTCTCGTCAGTCGTAGGGGGTCCGCCGCCCCTCATTAGCCGCGTAAGCACACGGGCACTCGGAACACACGCAGCCATGCACACTGATTTGCTCATTAGGCGTCCAAGCATCCCTCAAACCAATCACAGGCTTAATGGTGGTGTTAAAGTGTGGATGATTTGGTCTGGTGGGGGCCCTGTGGGGAAAATGTCAGCACTGTGTTGCTGGTCGGTCCTGTGATCTTCCTTGGCTGATATCTGTCTGCTGCCTCCCTCACTCCCTGCTTTCCCTACATACACACACGCAGACACACGCATACACACACACACATGCGCGCGCGCGCATGCAACCTTTATACCTCATCAGGTCCTGCAGAGAACCTGGCAGAAGTCATCATGACTTTGGGTGGGGATGTTTTCTGTAGAGCTTCTGCTATTTATAGGTTCACTTAGTTAAATCTGAATGTGTGTTTTTGTTTCTTTTTTTTTGTTTTCTTTCTCCTGTTCGTTCCTTTTTCCAATAATCTCAGTGGGTAGGAAGCAAGTCTGAGGAAAAAAAAGGGGGCAAATCCGCAGTTTTCCCTTTCAAAGTTCACCGAATACACGGATAGAATCCGACCCGATTAATTTGTGAAGACACGTCAAAAGTGCTGGAATTTACAGTCAGGACCCCGGTGCCTCACAAATCAGGTGCTGGTTAAAATCAGCACCTGTGAGTCATAGGTCCAAAGCAAAAAAAGAAGAGGAACAAAAAAAAACAGTTTCTTCAAGCAGGGCTGAAGGAGACCCTGCCTGAACCCGAAGAAATGCTCGTTAGTATTCCATAATCGACATCAAGCTTTTCATTCATGCTCCACAATCACTGGCTCATTCACAGCTCTACACTTAAGAGCCCCTGACATAAAGCGGCTAATCATGTTTGTTGGGGTTTTGCTGATGGGCCGTCATTACCTGAGTCTTTTCATAATAATTTTGCTGATTTGTTTATGTCATCTGCAGCCCTCGATGTGGACGAATTAATAATACGAACCGTGAAAGCGTTTGTTACTCTGGTTTTCTATGAGGCGTCGGCCTTTCTTGATAAATCCCAGCAGTCATTTAAAGGATTTGTTCAACGGTAGAATGTTATTTTTAAATATTAACGGAAAAGTGTATGTGAAATAAATGTATAAGGAGCAAAATGAACTTCATGTTCATTCTTTGTTTCTGAAAAAGAGAAAAAAAAAATCAGTTTTATGTCTTTTGTGTAAATGCAGTATGTTGTCCACTGGAAGTGGAATACATTTTTAAATATACAAAATAAATAAAACAACAAATACAATGAATTTTGAAGTCTTTGTAAACAAAACTGTCCTTCAAAAAAGGAGCCAGTTGAGACCAAAGGACCAAACTGAAGACTTTTATCATCCAGTTTCTGGTAGAAAGGGAGAAAAAAAAAGAGATAAAGGATAAATCATGCCAATGGAAATAACTGAGTTTGTTTTAATTTATCCTGCAATTAATTGATTTATTGATTGTTGTGACAGGCCTAGGCGTGTCAGTTTAACTTGTTTAAGTTTGCGGGTTCTTCCTTCTCTTTTGCAAGTATCGCATTTTTACAGTCACCACAGAAAAACCTGAGTAAATTAAATACAGAAGTGAAAATGTTTTTTTTTTGTCTATTTCCCACTGAATGTATCTGTTCTGCATTCACAGTGATTGAGCATATGCTTTATTTCTCATATCCAGTACAATATCAAGCTTAATGATGGGCTTTCTCATTACTAAAAGGACATATTTTAGGGGGAAAAAATATGCAAATTCTTTCTGAAAAAAACTACAAAGTCTTAGATAACAGGTCTTCTAATATAAATATTAATTACTTCACTTAATTAACTTAATGTGATTTTTGCCTTGTGGGGAATATGATGGACAGTATGAAAAAAAATCATACAGACCAAATATTTATTTCTTGAATACTAATAGTGTGGTTGAACAGACATGTGGGTCTCAGGTGTGAAGCAGCTGTGCTTGGAACAGGCTGACGGCAGCACTTGCCTCATAAATAGCAATTAGTTTAGTTCAACAAACACCCTAGGATCGGTGTGTAATAGTGTTATTGTCAGAAGGAAAATATATTTCATAGCAATCAGATGGAACACTAATTAAACAGCCTGTCGTAGCTCATAATTATGGGAACATCAAGTCTCCACAGGGGGATCTCTAATTCATCTAAAGAGTCTGGAATTGTCAATTCCAAGTACAAGAACTTCAACGTGATTAATCTGTTCTGGTTTTAGGGAAGACGAGAAACGGATCTTCATTAATGCAACATAGATTGAACCGAAAAGTTGAGCGAAACCGATATGTAACGCCTGGTGTTCAGAGCCTTTGTACTTTTGCCGAATTGTTTTCGCCGTAATGGATTTTTACGTGATAGACCAACACGGGAAAGAGCACAGTTGTTAAGTGGAACGAAGGTGATCCAAGTATTCGTAAAGAACAAATCTTAAGAACCAGAAGACCCTGTCATGACATGCTAAATATCCAGGCAACAGATGCAATATTTCACAGCAGCATGCTAATCCACCTCACTTGCCTCTTCAAATCTCTCTCCAGCCGTACGGTTAGTAGAAAGTCTGGCAGAGAGACATTGGAGTTGGGGAAATGATACTTGATACCCCATTAGGTTCAATTGAAGAGATGGTTTGAACTTCCTTCGTCTCTCTTTGCTCTTTGGCTCTGCACTGCCACTACAAAGCCTCTGTTCCAACTTCTGTGGGATTTGTTGCCAGAGTTAAGCATCCAAGCAACTGTCCGAAAGTTAAGAGCAAGAAAATCCTTCCCAGAGGGAATAACTGTCCAGAAAGAAAGGCCTCGCCCAAAAACTGGTGAAGAAATCAGAAGCAACATAACAGAGCTATTCCATCATGCTGCCAGCATTGAGCGGAGCAAGTTTAGAGCCATGCGTACGTCCATTAGACCAGCTAATTCTTCCAGGTTTTGTTACATTGTGCAAGAGTTTGGGGTGCAGTTTGGACAGAAGTTTGTTGGAGAACATTAGAGAACAAACAGCATCTCGAAGACCAAGGAACACAGATGTCAGGTCAGGGAGAACGTTGTGTAAAGGTTATTAACATATATCCTAATTTCATCCATGTTGGACATGTCATGGAGCACATTTAAGTCCACCATCCAAAACTGAAAGGGATACGTAACCTCGTCGAACCTGCTGAGACATAAATTTTGCCTAAACTGACTGATTGTAGTGACTCTGGAGGAGCTGTGTGGATCCACAGCTCAGGTGTTTACAGAACAGTGGTGAGGCAAAGAGACAGGATACAGAGCAAACGTGAAGGAAGACCGGTTGGAGGATCGAGTACTATGGTGCTATGATTGAGTCGTTGGAAGCAAAACTGTACGGTCCACTCAAAGCCCAAAACTAAATCCAAATGAGAATCTAGTCCAAGAGTTTTACATTTATGTTCACCGTTCCTTATTCAACCTAATTGAGTTTGGTTTTTCAAAGAAGAATGGGCAACAGTCTTCCAAAAAGACCTTCAGCTGTGAAAGACTCATAAAATAGTGAGTGGATAGGAATGAATGCATCACACGCTTTCTAGGTGTTCATTC